GGTTTATCCTTAAAGGGGGTTGTATCGGGGATTAGGGTTTATCCTTAAAGGGGGTTATATGGGGTATTAGGGTTTATCCTTAAAGCGGGCTATATGGGGGATTAAGGAACTTTGACAGTCTTGTTTTCACTGCGATTCTTGTCAGGTCTCTGTTTTGCACATTTGGAGGCAGTATCCCCTGTTGTTTCAGAACTTAACCCGGTCAGGGAGTGCCAAAGGATCCTCGCCGAAAGCCCCCAGCATCTCTGCTGCACGTGTAACATGCCGATGCAGCTCCCTGGTGCTGAGGAGGGAATGGAGGAATGGATCCCTATAGTAGTCCTTATACACTCCTTAATAACAATCCCTATAATCCATTCCCCCATATTCCTTCCTAAGCACCAGGGAGGCAAGCACAAGTCAGTGGATCATGTGTCCAGAGACATCTGTACCAAGAAATTTCCGATTCTCTTTGAACGGGGGTTTCCCGAAATTAGGGGTACCTTTCTGTGGGTCCCTATACTAAGGGTTATGGTACATTAGGGTCCATTTTGGTGTCCCTTATTTTCTGAAACTACCATATATACTTGTATACCCCTAGATATCCCTTATATACCCCTATGTACCCCTATATATCCCCTATAACCCCTCTTTCGGGAAATTACCGAATGGCTTCGGTCTCCCGAGGAGACGGCAGACAAAAAGCCGGAGCCTTGCACGAAGGAGGAGCTGCAGGCCACCGTCGACATCTATGGACGCTAGCCTGGTTTAGGGTTTAGGGTTCATAGGGTTTAGGGTTCATAGGGTTTAGGGTTCATAGGGTTTAGGGTTTATAGGGTTTAGGGTTTATAGGGTTTAGGTTTTAGGGTTTAGGGTTTAAGGGATTGAGGATTTGGGTTTAAGGTTTAATTAAGGGATTAAGGATCAGGGTTTAGGGCTTAAGGGGTTAAGGATTAGGGTTTGGGGTTTAGGGATATGGTTAGGGATAGCGTTCCACTAGCCTAGCAGTCAGGCTCATGTGAGCCGTAATCTAAATTCCTCAAACGGGGGTTTACAGGGGATTATATAGGGGACTACTAAAGGGGGTATTGATGTGGATACTAGGAATTTCTATTATATCAAAGGAAGTATGGGCCCCTAATATGGCCCCTTAGGCTTTTTTAGGGACCCTTAAGAGTACATATAGGGTATATAGTAGGTATAAATGGGTTCCCAGAGTTAAGGGCCCATACTAGGGGCCCATGGTTTTAACCTTAGACTATAGCTCATGTGTCATTTTTGTTCGTGTGTAGTCCTGCAGTTTGTTGGTGGTTGAGGCTTCGAGGCCGGTTGGCTGAGCTAGGATCCTGAAGGTCGACGGTTGTTGGCCCTAAGCCCTATAAACCCTATAAACCCCTAAGCCCTAAACCCTATAAACCCTATAAATCCCTAAACCCTAAACCCTAAACCCTATAAACCCTAAACCCTATAAACCCTAAACCCTAAACCCTAAACCCAATGAAGACTCGGCTGCTTGCTCTAAGGGAAGGTTGGTGGCCGCTAGCTCAGCTGCTGCGGTCAGAGACTGTCAATAGCCCAGACCCCCTAAAGGATCCAAAAAATGGAACCCCCCCAATATGAACCCAGTACTACAGTGGGGAAACTAGGGAATTATTAGGGGGTTCCATGTTTTGGATCCTGTAGGGGGTCTGGGAGACCGGTTGCAGTGGAGAGTGTGCAGCGAAGAATCCGGCTTGCTGTTAAGGAAGCACTAATCTACGTTATTCTAACAAGGAAATCCCAACTATTTGCTATATACCTATAGTCCCCCTCAAGTAGATAGAATGTGGGGTGTATGGGGATCTTATTATAAGATACCCAAAGCCATATTCTATCTACTTAAGGGGACTATATATTATTGTAACTCAATTTAATTTCCTTAGCCGCAGCCCAGATGAAAGCATTCTCGGAAACTTGGTGGCGTGAGCCTCGCAAGCCGCAACTGTCCAAGGTGACCACCAGATGGATCAGATCATCGAAAAGCTCAAGAAAGCATCTTGGATGATGTGGGGATTTTGCGAGGAAGCAGGTCAGAGTTCCTTAGGCTTCATCATGCTATAAGGCAGTATATTGTAGTATGTTATGATATATTATGGTATGGTGAGACTTCAGCTTCGATTTTTCAGCTGTCTGCAGGGATTGCAGTGATATTCCTGATGCTTGGAACTATGCAGAGACCACTTTGCCTCGTAATCACTACTAGCGTGACTGCCGTGAGGTACAGGAGCAATCGCCAGGAGGAGTGCACGGCTTGGTGCCTTGCGCCTTGCTGAAGAGAACAGCGATGATGCTTGGAACTCATCCATTGCAGGAAGCTTGCCAGATGCGGCAAAGCTTGACCAGATCCTTCAAGGAGGAAAAGAGGTGCCTTGGTCCAGGAGAGAATGCGGGTTCACACACAGCCAACTTGTCAGGAATTGTTTGTTTACATATACATGCAGAGATGAAGCTGAGGTATTGAGGGTCGAAGGCCAGATGAGCATGCTGCCATTGTGGCTGGCACATTTTGCATGTTTCTTTGCGCAGCCTGGAGCTTGCCTCAATGCATGGGAAGCGATGTGATCCAACAACATGCATCAGGCGATCTCTATCTGTACAGTGCCCATGCGGACGCCTTCCTCTCCAACCCGCAGGTGCAGGAAGTCTTCGAGCTCTTGATCGACGCTTGGGTTGCGAGGAAAGCCCATCATGAGCAATGAAGTTACGGGGGTTGCTATTAAGGGACTTGATTTAAGTTACCATATTGGGGAACCCTACTATTTACTGCATATATCCATTATGGTAACTGAATTTTCAGCTCTACAATCTGAGGCAGGGAAGGCGCAGATTGACACTCGGAATGTGGAGGCGGGACTGCGCCCTGCACGGAAGAGAGTTGACATGTTCGTTCTTCTCGTTAGGTTGGGAAGGCTTTTTGTGGCTGGAGTCACCTTTATTTCTCGTTTCTCATTCCTTCCCTTTCCTGTTCAGGGGGCCTGTCTCGTCAAAACAGATCTTGGTCGAGATCAGTATAACCCCAATAGAACCCTAAACCCTATACCCTATTATACTATAGTAGTTTCCATTTTATTTGAGAGGGGACTGTTGTGGCGTG